CGACCAGGTAATGGTGTACTATTCATTTGACATTTTCCATAAACACCGGAATGCACAAGTCCCCATACACTACGTCCAGATTCATTTCCATTTATATAGAATGGTTGATGAATAATACCACCAATAGCATTGCCTTTGGTAGCAAAACCAATTAATACTGTAACACCTTCTAATCGACCTTCAGTAAATTCTCGTGTTCCATCTAATGGATCAACCCAAACAACAAGCTAATAGAAAAAGCACTAAATTTTATTTATGAATTTTTTCATAGTTTACATCTTTTTCTTGTAAGTCTTGAAATTCATTTGGACATTTTGCTTGCAAAACTTCATTTAAATTCGATCGAATTAATTCATCGATATCTGATGTTGCAGCAGATTTTTCAATGGGAATATTCTTAAAAAAAAAGCATTTATAGGGTTAAGAAAAAAATAAACACTAGTCAAAAATATTTACTTCTTCTCCACGAATAGTTAATTGTGGAAAATGTTTTGTTAAATTTGAAATAATTAATTGTTGAGAAGCACGATCAGCTTTTGTTTGTGGATCATTATGTCCCTAGAATATATAGAATAATATAAGAAGATTTTGAAAAAACGAAAATAAAACCTACGATACTTTATCAACAATATCAAGACTTGTACCAGACGTTTGTACATCTTTAATGATTTGACCAGCTCGTTTAGCTAACGTTAACGATGCAGAAACTACACGCATAAGTACTGGTAATGAATGAATAGTTGCCATGATTATTTATCTGGAATGAGAAAAAAAAAGAATACTAGGTTCTATATAATTTATTCATTTCGTTTTTTTCTTGAACGACGTGTTGTCGTTTTAGATTTTGTTGCTTTCTGTTTTTTATGAGGAATTTCATTAACAACATTAGTCGTATTCATAGACATAAACTTATTATATTCATCATCATCATCATCGTCGTCGTCAGCAGCAGCAGTAATATCATCATCATTAAGTACGTATTCATCTTTGATACTTGTTGGTCGATCAATCATTTCAGCTTTTGCTCGTATTCGACTTCGAGATTCACCAATTGATGATCGACGCTAATTAAAGAGTAAAACAATGATTAATGAGAATTATTCTACTAACTGATAAAAAGCTCATTTACCTGTATTGTAGTTTCAGGTTCTGGTTCTTGTTCTTGTTCTTCTTCTGGTTGCTCATCTGTTTTATCAATATCAAGACCTTGTTTCAATTGTTCAATAAAATTTGCTCGAATCGATGTAAATTCTTTTGGTAAATTATCTACACTGCCATATGCTTCAATTAAACTATCTTTTGCTTTTGTATATAAATTATGTGTTTCTTCACACATCTAAATTAATATAAGATAAATATAATTAGTAATAAAAATAAAATTTATAATCATACTTTGACAAGTTTTTCATCGATATTTAATCGTGATGAAAGTAAAACATCTGAACGCATATATTTACCGGATTTCATATAATTCATTTTTGTAAAGAAACGAGGACCCATCTAAATAAGTAAGATAGAAAAATAATTATGGATATGAAGATGATTAAAATATTAAACCTCATGTCTCGTTGCACTCATAACAAAAGCATGTTCATTAAGTAATTTACATAAGATGGTTTTAGCATCCGAAGGTACTGTTGATGATGATTCTATTTGATCAAGAAATGAATTCCATGTATCAATAGTCAAACGAATCTTTTAAAAAATAATTTCATTATTTTCAAATAGAATTTTTTTTTTATTATTACTTTAACTTTTGGTTCTTCTATTTGATACATATATATAGTAAATAAGCAATAAAGTGCACCAAGTTGTATAGGTAACCGCCATGATTCACCGAGATAAGCAGCAGCTACTGTCATAGAATCATCAAGAAACTAAAAAAAAATCGTACTCTTTTTACTTTGTACATATAAAAAATACTTACAAAACGAAATGAATTTGGTTGAATATCTGCAGCTCTATGTATATCAAAAGAATAATAATATAAATTTCATAAAAATATAAAAAGATTCATACTTAAAAAGTAATTCAAGTTTATGTTTTTGCCATACAGTTGCAAATGTTTGATAATCATAAATAGATTCTTGTTCAAAGTCATGTAAAAGAGAATCAAAATCTGATGATATTGGTGGTAAAAAATTATATGTATAGTAAGCTGCCATAGATATTTTCACAATATAGTACAAAATTTTCTTTTTTTTTAATCGTAGATATATGTATACTGACAAATATATGTTAATGATTCATTCTTAGCTTTCTATTTGTTAGAAATAATCTGTTTTGCTAAAACTTTAGATAGATGTCACTGTCAACAAACTTTCACTTAGATTAGATTATAGTTTTGAAATTTACAAGTTAATTTGTTTATTCTTTTGAGTTTTCTTATTATTTAAACTTCTGTAATTGTTATGAAAAATGATGATTAAACTGAATGTAATATTCTAATAGTTACCATACACTCTTTCTTTTCTTCTTATAGTTTTCGATTTTCATTATCGACGATGATGACGTCAATACCAGGTCCTATGTATATTTTTCTAGATTATATTCTCTTCAACGAAACATGACTATTAAAAGACGATGAATTAACAAATATTGTCTGACTTTTCGATATTTTTCTTTGTCATTTACAAGGTCAATGAAGTAAAGTCATATCATGTCGAAATTTACTAGTCTAACTTGAGAATATGTTATTCTTAACTCTATTGTATTCATAGACGAACATCATATTCGTCAGCTTAAATCATAGAACAATGCACAACAAAAGAAAACAAGAAAATATCTAATCGAATTATTCTATCACATATAAAGACACGTTTCAAATAACATTTTCATATATTCATTACTTTCGACATCATCGTTTACAACACAAATAATTCAAATCAAAATCATGATTAGCAATCAAATGTTGTTCATTTTCGGTACTTTATGTTTATTAATATTAACGACTGTATCAGCAGCACCAGTTATGGACGATGAAACTACACCATTTATGAATGATGATTTTTTCAAACATGGCAAAGATGATGTCGCCGCATCAAATATAGATGATCATTTCAAAACAACTAAAGATGATGTTTTTGAATCAGTTACAGTTGATAATGTTGTACCAGTCAAAGTTGATAGAACTGTACCAGTCAAAGTTGATGTTGCTATACCAGCCAAAGATGTAAAGGAACCCATCATTGTTCCAGACGTAGTAACTGATCGACTTCTTTTTGTCGATGTTAGTGTAAATCCTTTTCACAAAGATGTCAAAATGGACGGTGGACTTCTTTTCGATAAAGATATATTTCCTGTTACACTAGATGCTGAAGAAAGTCATCTACTTAAAGAATAAATATTAAATATATATCATCTTTTTTTTTGTTTCTTTTTTCTCTATTTGTATGTTTGTGATATAGATTAATTTGTTTGTATATCTATGTGTTATTAACTCTATAATACTTTTTGTTTATTTGACTCAATAAAACCTTTATTAAATAAATGATCTTTGTATTTTTCATAAATGCATTCAACATTACATATAAAAAAATATAACACTGTCAATCGAGCGCATTAATTATCTTGATTCAATAGTATGTCAACTGACTCTGTCACTAATAGTAAATCATCTACAAGTATACATTCATCTGCATCGTACGTTTATTTTTTGTCAAGATGATTTAAAATATAACTAATTCTTAGATCATCATCATCATCAAAACTATCTAAAAAATCTTCAATTGATATTGATTATTGGTCACGTTCATTTCTTGCTCTTGTATATCCAGTTTCATTTACTGTTATTATATCTGCTGGTTTATCAATTTTTCTCTATGATCTCTACAAACACTCAAATGTTTTCGAAGATGCTGGTCTTATATCTACATTAAAAGGACCTAATGCTGCATCAGTATCTAAAATAACATGGGAATCATTTTTAATTGCACTAACTATTATCGGTATCATTGCATTAGTAACATGTCTTCTTGTTATTTTCGTTTATTATGGTTGTATGAAATGTCTCTATATTTATTTATTTATAACTGTTACTTGTGTTTTTTCTCTTTTAAATATTTCTATTCTATCAATGATTATTGCACAATTAAATTGTTCAATTGATTGGTTAACAATTCTATTTTATGTTTATAATATATTATCAATTGCAATTCTTTCAATGTTTTGGTTATCACCAGATATAATCAAACAAATCGTAACTATTTATCAATGTATTATTATGATATTATATGTACTTAAAATAGCACCGGAATGGATTGCATGGGCACTTTTACCATTACTTGCTATATGGGATATGATTGCTGTATTACTTCCATTTGGTCCACTTTATTTATTGATTAATTTATTTCAAAAACGTAAACTTCAAGTACCATCAATGATGATTTATACAACTGGTATATGGTTTAAAAATCAAAATATGAATAATTTACCAAAAAAAAAATCTTTAATATCATCATTTCAATATTGGTCAAGTTTAAATTTACTTTTTATATCACCAAATACTTTAACTTATTTCTATAAAGAAAAAATTGATAATAGTAATAATAAAAATACAAATGCTTCATCTAATAAATCATCAAGAAAAATGAAAACACGTAAATCAATGTTAGGCTTAGGAGATTTTATATTCTATTCAATACTTCTATCAAAAACAGTTTTTACATCTGAATGTAATATATTTGCTATTATTATTGTATATTTATGTATTATAATGGGTATGCTTGGTACAACTATTGTTCTTCTTATATTAAATCGACCATTACCTGCTTTACCTATTTCATTATTAATTGGTTTAGCTGCGTTTTTTCATTATAATCATATTGGAAATCAATTTGCTGATATTCTTCGTTTACCAACAGGACCAATTATTATATAATAAACAAACAAAAAAAAAATTTTATTTTTTCTTTCATGATTACAATAGGAAATAAGCGAAAGAGAGGAGGAGGACGACTAACATCACTGGTAAAGAGAAAGAAAGATTTTATCAATGTTATTTAATCAGGTTCTAAAAGCGACATAAATTGATGTTGTGCAATGAGATTCTTTTCGTTGTTCGTTTCTGTTGTTGTTAATGAAAATTGTTGTATATTAAATGGTTCGATATTTTTTTCAATTGTTGATGTTGTCATATCAATAACAACATCATTTGTTGATGGACGTGTTTGAAATTTATATTGATTATTAAAATAAAGTGATACAAATGGACATTGACCAAGAATAATTTCACATAAATCACGTCGAAGACCAAACCACCCTAGAAAATAATTTGTTTACATTGATTATAAATATTTAAGTAAAGAATACGAACATGGATTACTATCAGTAGCTCCAAATGAAAATGTAAGCCAAGCAATTAATGTTATATATAATGGAATAGATATTACACTGTATGAAGTTTTTCCATTTTGAGTAGTATCTTCATTATCAAGTCGATCCACCAATAAGATCTTTAATAAAATCAAATTTATTCGTTTTTGCAGAGATTCAAATTTTAATAAACCTACTGAAAAAATGCTGAATGGAACGAAGATAAGTGTATAGATAATTGCTTCTGCAACAGTAGTTGCATCACGTTGAGTAGATACTAATCGACGAGAACATCGATGAACAATAGCAAGAATTAATTTTGTAATCACGAATAATAAAGCAATACATAAAGAAATCCATACTGGAATGAAGACGACCTTTATTCAAACCAAATAATAATAATAATAATATTAATTAAAAGAAAAGGATACTTACAACATATCGCCAGGTAAGAAAATAATCTAGACGAAGTGGAAAAAATAAAAAGAATAGTCCATTAGCTGCAATGAACGTTTGAATCTAAATTAAATACTCTCGATAATTAACATTTTTGTTTTGTTTCATATATTCAAGGAGATCAAACATACCAGAAAATTTCTTTGTGCTTTTAATGACCATAAACATGATATAAAACAAACAACTGTACATAAAAGTAATGGAATAAAACATATAATCCAGCGAGTATCTAAATGATTTTCTAGCTTGTCACATGAAAGTAATTCAAATGTAAATATAAGAATATGTATAACAAAATAAATGATCAATGCTCGACAATCATTATCTGGCGTACGAATAAATCTTACAAGAAAAATAAATATGAATAAATTCTAATAAATATATATATATCTACCTATTTCTTTCACCACTTTTACACCAGACAAAAACTCCTGTACAAGCACCAAATACAACAAGCATTTTCCATATGAATAATGGCAAAAAGACAAGCCAGTAACTAATTTTAATATATTCATCAATACGTAATGCAAATAGAATTGAAAAGATCAGTAATGAACAAGTAATCACAAACCGACTAAATAAAAAATTAATTAAATAAATAAATCAATGAAAATTTCTTACGCTGGATTGCAAGATTGTATATACTGAGAGGTGTCCATCCATCATCAATTTATCTAGAACAAATAATATTTATATAATTAACATAAAACTAATACTTGACATTTTCGATTGTTTAATAAATAAAATTTTGACAGTTGTTTAGAAATTATACTTACGAATAAAATAAATATATTTTCCTATAGCACATATGCTTCAAAATAACAATCTAAATGTAAATATCTATTCATCAAAGCTATGAATCAAATATAAGAAAATATAATTAACAATTTAAGTTTACATGTTGTTCATGATTGGATTCTTTTCAAATTAAAATATAATATTCATCGAACCATTTGATAATATATAGATTTGTTTTTTCATCTAAGATCACATTACTATTCAATGGAAAGAATAATCAAAAAAATGAAGATTAACAACATCATTCTGTAGTTTCTCTTCGTTGCTTATTTTTAACTTGATCAGTCATGTGTTTTTACCAATGTAAAAAATATCTCTCTACAGTTTTTACTTGAGAAGTAGATGGCGCTATTGTTTTACTAGTAACGAAATATTTTTTATTCAAAAAAAAATTTTATTTTTAGAATCTCAATTTATAGAAAAAAAATTATTTAGTATTGATATGTATTATATACAGACACAATATTTTACAGAGAGTATAATCAATTATGCAGAAATTGTATAGTAATCGAGTAAATATATCTATGAAAAGTTTACCCACTTATTACGCATGTTAATGTCAACTTAATACTATTGTAAAAATATTAATTAGAGATTTAATTTATATTCTATGAATAATAATAACATTGTTTAATCTAAGATTGATGTTTGCAGTATTTTTAAAAATTCAAAGAATAAAAGTGATCAAACAAGCATTAAATATAGAATAAATATCGATGATCTAAACTAAGCCGCCCTTCTGGGCTTGCTCATATGAATGACCGAAAGTTTCTAACTCATTGACTTTTTTACAAAACGAAATTAATCGACCAATTCATTTCTCTATGTGATATAATATATTATGACCAATGTTTTAATTTATTATTGAAACATATGATCGTATTTGTTATATTTAAATAAATAAATTTTATACATAATATGTCTACACTATGCATAATTATTTTTTTATCATAATAAATATTTACTTTTACGTACAACCTTGTGACAATCGATTGTCTAATTAATTCAGTGTACTCAAGTTTTTTTTCTTGTTCGATTATTTCATTTCTCGTTTAAATCAAGGTTAATAAAATTGATTCATTCTGTTAAAATCATCTATTATCATTATTGATATATAGTAAAATGACAAACAATAGTTAGTATTTCTTCTATATAATCAATAACAATGGTCATATATATATATAAAAGTAAAAAGTTCTAACGAAAAGTAATGTATGGTCATACAAATTTTCCCTATGAAGTCATCCGAAAAATCTTTTGATGCGTAAGATTAAAAGAAATAAATGGATTTTTTTTGTGTTTTTATTCCTTTCTAAGAGGTTGTAACTGTATGTATACATATGTGTAACTATTTTAAGCGATTTATTAAAATAATGGTTAGTTTTTATACTGAAAATTTATTGTTGAATATCATCGATTTCCTATATTAATCGTTCAATATGTATAAGAAATTTATTTTCTTTAAAACTATATCAATAAGGTAAGATAATATAAAATGCTCTACTTCTTATAAAAAATAAGATTAGTGATATTAATCTATATATTTTTTCAAGAATGAACATTGTTATTGTTTTCATATGTGAACATATTCTAGAGTTAATTAGACAGGTGTAGTTATTAGCAAATGAATTCGTCTGTAACGATGATATCCATCCTATTCGTATTTCAAATTTTACTACAGACAATTATAATAGACTGATACAGTACTGTTTTCTTTTTCATATACAACAAGTCGTTTTGTTCTGTGTCTTCCTACCTTTCTTTCTCTTTTCTCTTCTCAGTCTCTTCATCATTGTTAACATACAATGATATATGATGTTGGACGACCGTAGTAATGATGCCAAAGAAGAGCAAGAGAATAAAGCAGCAGTCGTCGACACTACTCGTATGTGTTTTTAACCACAATAAAAAAGAAAAGAGACATGTGTGAAAAAAAAAAGAAGTTTACTCGTCAAATAAATGGAGAGTAAAAGAGAGAACAAACAGATAACGATAATTATGATGAATACACGACATCTTAAGAGACAAAGATATAAACTAATGCATGGGCAAGATTTTGTCTAATATAATATTTCATTTTTAGTTAAAATATTTTTAAGTATAGCAAACCGAAAGTCATTTGTTGTGCAAGAGCGAGAGAGCGATATAGAAAAAGACGAGCGTGTTTCCTATATATATTTTTTTATGAGAATAGTAATGGCAATTGTGTGAAGTCCCACGTACTAATATGTTATATAATCGGAAAGACTATTTTTAATTTAAAAAAAAATGTCTTACTATATAGTAAAAATTTGTCCTAATATCGTTAAATAAAGATTTTACGAGTGAGAAACCAAAGACGAGCGTTAGAAATGTGTGAGTTAATTATAATAACTAATCCTAGAATAATGTTTGTTTTATACTCTTATTTTTTTTTGTCTTGAATTAATAATATTTTTTAGTAATATATCCTTGAACGTTATCAATTGACTATAATTATGGATCATAGTCGAATTGAAGATCGTTCATCGCACGAAATTGTCGACGGTAAGAAGAATAATATAATATGAATAATAATAAAGTATTGTTTTTTTTTCTCTCGTTAGGATCTGTATTAACAAGAAGTGCAAATCTTGATCTTAGTCCTTCTACGAATGCAAAAACGATGCGTGAAATTGATTCAGTAAGTTTTTAGTTTATTTATTTATGACAATCGTTAGAAAGATAATGATTAATAAGTTTTACTAAATTCTTATTTCAATAATAATTTGTGTTATTTGTAGTTGTTCCAACTTATTATGTCAGATAAGATAATACATACTTTAAATGTATTCAGATAAAAATGTCTCAACTATTATATCTAGATATTGCTTTAGTATTTAAATTGGAGAAAATGAAAAAAAAGTATTCATGTTTAGTCAAACCATCGGGTTTTTTGTTTTATTACAATCTAAAAGCCACTTTTTATGAGAAGTATTTAGAAAAATTATGTTTATTCTTTCTACTGTGAGTGTCTATATTTACATTAATAAAAAAAAACCTTTCATTCGAATAAATAATAAAAAAAATGTTTTTACATGTAGTTGTTTGTTATCTTTATTTATCAACTATGGTATAATAGTAAATAAACATTGTTTATCTATGGAAAAGTGAGACGGAAGGTATATAGTCACGTTTAGATCTATTATGTGTTGAACGAGATATTATACTTGAGAGATAGAATTTGTTACCTTAATTTGTCGTTTTTAGTAATACAAAAGAAGAAATAAATTAATCATGAAAAACATTCATTTTTTAGGAAGTTCAAGAACTTAAACGTGAAAATTTTCAATTGAAGTTACGTATATATTTCCTCGAAGAACAAAATGAAACGAGTAATGTACATACGTCATCGACTCAAGTTCTACAGCAATGTCCTTCATCACAAATTGAATCTTATAATAAAATTGAAGGAGCGAATGGTATTCTAAAAACTGGTTCATGGCATTCATTAAATCCGTATGTTGTTTTTAAATTTCTTCATAATATTGTAAATATTCGATTATTTTGTTAAACCATTTTAAAATTAATCAACACCTAACAAAATAAAATGAAATGTTGAATGGTTCGATTATAGTCTTTCTCTCTTTTTCTCTCCCAGTCTTTTTTTTTTCTCAGCCAGTTTATGTCTCTTGCTTTTGTTCTGAATAGTTGCTTGAAAAGAGTGCGGAAGCCATAGAAATAAAAGAAAAGCAGAGGAAAACGAACGAAAAGATCGAATAGATGACATAATAGAACAACGAAAGACAGTCGCGTAAGTGTTCAAATTATTATCCTACAATGGGTGCAACACAATCAGCAGTGATTCAAGATGCAAGTGATGATGAAGTGGAATATAGTGATGCTGAGACAGATATAAGGTGATTCGATCTGTATGATTTAATTTTAAATTTTAGAAGATATCTGTTTATTATTTCTACCTTTTCCTCTTTCTTTATACTTAATAGAGACGTTTATTTTATGTATCGAATATATTCTATTGTTCGGTTGTACTTTACAATAGCACTTCTATTTTCAATGATTGATTCAATAACTACATCAGTGAATTATCTTAAATCATAATCTTCATTTTCAGAACGCGAAAATACATTCTTTTAATTGAATATATCTTAGAAATGTCTATTGTTAACATAATAATTAACTTTATCAGTTATTATGTATCTCAATTTGATTAATGTTGTTTTTTACTTTTTTAGTCATTCAACACCGATCAAAAATAAGAATGTTATAGGGAATAGTGAAACTGATGAACTAAATGAATTGAGAATTGCATTCGAAAAATGTTGTCAAGAAAATAGAGTTCTTCGTGAATCGCTTGGTATTTCTATTGAAGATCTAGTCGATCGGACTAGAGTACTACCTATTCCGTCAGCGACAAGTCCATCGTATTCGTCCAATACATTAATAGCACAATATGAAGAACGTGAAAGAGTTCTTCTAAATGAAAATAATTTCTTAAAACGAGTAAAAACAAAACTAAATTACGAAATTTATATATTCATATATTTATCTTATCTAGGAAATCGATACATTAGACTTTCAATTAAAAGAAGTAAATAGAGAATTACTTTTTATTTTGATAATTAAAAGTTTTTTTTTTCATTATAGACTTTTGATAAATTAGAAAAATTAAATAATGAACATCAAAATGAAATTGCAAGAAGTGAAGATGAAAAAGTTAAAGCTGATCGTACATTACGACGTTTAAAATCTGATTATGATACTCGTATTGCTGTAATATTTATAAATTTATTTATTACTCCATTATTCTTATATAATATTATTTAGAATATGAAAGAAGGGCGAGCACAATCATCAGCTAATAATGAAACATATCGACATGAGGTAAAAAGATTTTTTCTATTGATGATATTTCCGAAGTAGTTAGTTAATTCGAAAGAATACAATGAAATTATATATATAAATAACATTTTCTTTTAGCCATTACTTGCTCGAATTCGTTTTACTTATCCTTTGGTTTGTATTTCAAAATGCTTATTTTTTCCCCGGCTCTTAAATCATTACTCTCTCTCGATATATATACATATTCACTGATATTCTATAATATAATTTTGCTCACGATTATACGATGGATTTCATCTATTTATTTATTTTTCAATGCTTCATATTATTTTACACGATTTTTGAAAAATTTTCATCAGGGAAAAGAAGATGATTCAGATTTTTATTCATAGCTAAAATTTTCATTATTTAGGACATCGTGTGTGCATTTTTCTTTTCTTTATTTAGCAAGGACAAGCAACTTCCAATGTCGATATTCAAGCATATCTTGATAAAATTGCTGATCAAGAACATATTATACAAGTTAGTTTCCATAGGAAAACTGTTCTAAAATTGATGTATTATATTTTATAGCAACTTACCAAGGGAAAGGCACCGATGTCAATAACATATCCACCCAATACAGATTCTGAATTGACTTATGAAGTTAGTGAATATTTCAAGATTATCTTTTTTTCTTTTAATAAATAATATAATTATGTATTTTAAGAATATTCAACGATTGAAAGATAAAATAAAATGTTATAGTGAAGATTTTAATGTATGAATATACATATGACTTATTATTTATGTAATAATTATCTATTATTTATGTTTAGAAATTACAAAGTGAATGTGAACAACTTAGACAAAGTGAGAAAAAATTACGACATGAAATTGATGAGATACAACGTTATTGTATTCCTTTTGAAAAAGTTAATGTATGTGTAATAGAAAATTCTATTAATAATTTTATTTTTCTATATATGTATTAGCGTGTACGAGTATCTGTACCATCAACATCATCACCGGTATTATTAACTTTGGTTTTGAAAATAAAAATCATTTTAAAATAATACTTATTATTTTAGTTTACTTCTGCTAATCAACAAACTGATGTATGATTTTTATCTTTAGTTTTTTTCTTTAAATGAATTGTATTCTTCAGAGTCTACAATCACATGTCACTGGAATAATATCAAATCTTCGAGAAGATGTTACACATGTATCTAATATAAAAGATTATGTAGCACAATTAGTACAGGAAAATGTTGATGTAATTAGAAAAATATTTGTTTTCTATATTCTATTTTATATATATTTTAGTATCAAAGAATAGTCAAAAACCAAGATGCAGAAATTCAAGTATATATTAGGATTTTTTATTTTTGAAATAAATACATTTATGATTTAGGAATACAAACTTCGATCAAATTCTAAATCTGATATAAGAATAAGAGAACTTGAATATGATATAGAAAGTTTAAAAAAAGAAGTATAGTTTATTTAATTCAAATTTATTTTTAATATTCACTATTTTTATAGGTTGAAAATCGTGTTCAAAGTTTGAAAGTATGTACTGATGAAAATGAACGATTAAGAGCAACACAATCACATCGTCTTGAAGAAATGAAACTTCAATATACTGAAGTATGTTTGTTTTCGTTTCTCGTATTTTAGATTATTTTTTGTATCAATTCTAAGGAAATTCAAACTTTACATGAAGAACACGAAGAACTTACACAACAAATTCGAGTATCTATTACTAACGTATAAATTTGATTTCTTTTTATCTGCGTATTTTAGCAATCGAATGAACGTTATAATCAGTCTAAAGCAGACGTAGTCGAAACACAACGACAGTATGAAGAATTACGAATCAAATATGAAAACACAGTACGTACTTAACAAATAACTAGGTTTATTGAGGGTGGGCATAAATAGTTATCAAACCCGCATCCACATTCATATCCAAGGGGTTCAAAGTGGATCTTGAATTCTAATGAATTCTACGTGATCCTAATAGATCTGCTATAACCTCATGGATCGGGTGTGGGTGGCTGTGGCTATGGCTCTGGCTAACTAAAAAAGATAATACCCACACCCACCCTTAAGATATGTAACTGAAGATTAACAGGGTAGTAATTAAACTCAAATAAATTCTTTCATAAACAATCACTAGAATAACTTTTCATCATAGAATCATTTATTTTGTCTTTAGAAAGCACAATTACAATCAATGAACATAGACGACTTGACACATCAAATACGGGTAAAATCTATCATATATATATATAAAATATTTTCTTTATAAATAAATAGGTGCGAGAAAAACAAATTGAAGATTATCATAAAAAATTTGATCAAATGACAATTGATTATGAAGAAGTAAATTTTTATTCTAATAATTATACTTATTAAATCAACTCTTTATCTTAGGGGTTAAATCAACGTCAAAGACAAATAGATGTAATTAATAATTCGTTTTAGATTTTTAATAAAATCTATTTAAATTTTAGATTGAAAAAGAAAACGCTAAACGCGTAATTGATACTGAAATAAAACGATTTAATGAACTTCAAACAAACTATGATCGAGTAAACGATTACATACATTTTTTTTCTTTTAACTATTGAACATTTGTCTATTTTAAGTTACAATCAAATGGTGCCGATCATAAAGATCGATTGGAAAAGCAACGTCAAGTAAATAATCATTTCTCATTAATTATGTTTTTTTTAAATTGAAAATTATTTTCTAGACTTATGAACTTCAAATATCCGAACTTGAAAATGTATATTTAAATAACTAATAGAAATATCTATTGTTCTTTTTTCAAATAGGCACATGACAATAAATATGAGCAATTAAAACAAACAACTGATGCTGTAATCAATATAAAGAAATTTAAATAATTATTCTTTTTTTTCTAATTTTTAGTTAAGAAAAGAAATAGTTGATTGTAAAGTTCGTGTTCAACATTATGAAGATGAAAATGAACGATTTCGAACTGAATATCAAACATCAGATCGTAATTATCAACATATAAAACATGAACGTGATGTTGCTCTTAATAATCTGAATGTAAGAAGACGAATATTTTGTGTTATTTAAGTATTGTTTTTTCTTTTGTATTTAATTAGGAAGTGAAGCGTAAATGTGCTCAACTAGAACATGATCTGATTGCTACTGAAACGCGATTAAAGGAATGTGAAAGAAGTAGTCGAATTTTAAATGATGAAAATACTGTAAATTCGAAGAATAAGAAAAGTTCATTGATTCAAAAAAGAACTTTTATTTATTTGTTTTTTAGAAATTTCAACACGAACTAGACGAACTTAAGATTAAAATCACAATTCAAATTCAAGAACAATATGAAAATGAAGTAAAAACTGTTTTTTATCTGTTAATATTATGATAAAAAAACAAATTTTTTCTTTATAATCAAGTATCATAATCGTTATGAAGAATTGACTGCTCGCAAAGACGCAGAAATTTCAGTAAACAAAATATATAATTATTATCTTTATCAAAGAATTTTCGTTTTCTTTTTTTTACTATAGAATGCCTTGGAAGAAGTAAAAACTACTGAATCTAATTATCAACGATGTAATAATGAAAGAATACATGTAAGGTTTTCTTTCTTTTTCGAATTCATTATATATGTATATATGTTTATATAGTTTGAAAAGCAATTTCATGCAGTTGAAAATGAATTACAAAAAGCAAATAGAACGCTAGAAGTTAGTTTTATTATTATTATTATTTCATCTAATTGAATTCATTATTCTTTTTATAAGAATCATGTTAAAGATATCAGTCGTCTTAAAGAAGATCTTCAACGATCAAATGAACAATCTGATCATGATTATCATACATTTAATGAACAATTAAATAGTGCAAATCATCATATACAAGTATTTTTAAAAAACGATTTTATTCAAATGAAATTTGTTTTTTTTTATTTTTTAGCAATTAGAACAAAGAATTCAAGAAAAAAATCAACGCATTCTTGAAGTATAGTTATAATAAAATTTGTTTGGTTTTATTTCACTAAATTCTTTTTAGCTTACTGGTAATCCAAAAGATGTAACTTCCTCACTAAAACCCAATGTAATATAATTCGAAAAAAAAATATCTATAATTTATATATTTTAATATCATTATAGGATCGATTGTCGCTCTTGACAAGTTATGAACAAATAGTGAGTAAAAGACAAATTAAAGATACTGCATAGGAATAAAATAGTATTTGTTCAACATAAACTTAAGAATATAAAAATGCTCTTCTATATTCAATTAATATTCGTTGAGCGCATTTTAAATAAAAAAAAAGTGAAAGAATGAGAGAGAAGAATTATAATGTAAATGCTATTACTTCTTCCATTATTCTTTTGTCATTTATCAAATATACTCATAAGAAAGATTCCTATTAATTTTGTATTTTTAATAAAAAAAAGATCAGTAAAGGTAACTTTTTCTTGTTAAATAAACCTAACGTTTTCTAATATGAATATAATCCGTTAATAGCACTTGATATTACAAAAAATTGTTCTCAGGAGTCTTTTTTACACTATAAAGAAAAGATTAAAACATAAGAAAATTTTTTGTATTTACGAAAATCTTCTATGAGTAAGTCTTCATTATAGAGATCAGATTTATTGTTATATATTATAACGTAATGGTATCGTTTTTTATAATCTCATATCATAATTGAACTCTTACATCATCATTTGCTCTTCAAATGAACTCTAGAATTTCAATTTTTTGTTATGTATCAAAAATATCAGATTGAATTCAGTTATTGTATAAGTTTTTTTTTCTTTTCATAAATTCATCAGACTAATAAGATTTTGTAAGTTGTTGCTATGTTTTTTTAGTTTTAACTTTATGAATGATATAAAGATTCAGGAAAATTTCTTCTAAACTTTTTTTTCATTTAGATTGCAGAATTACGAAAGAATGTTCAAGAACAGGAAGAATTAATTAAAGTAAATTAATTTGCATAGATTTATTAATCAATTACAGAATATCGTTTTATTCTAGTTACTTCGAACTAAAGATCCTGGTGGTAGTAATGACTTAGACGATATTTATTTAGAAATTCGAGTATTTTATTTTAAAAAATATTTATATTAATGAAGCATTATATTTCTTCTAGATTCGTATTGATCAATTAGAACAAGATCTTCAAGCACAAGATAACACAATTGATCCAAAACATTCTGATGTAATTAAAAAAGTCAAATAATTATTTTATTTAAAATTCAACTATGTTTGTCTTTATATTAGCGTAATACTTTAATTCATGATAAACCTTCGAGTTATGAGAAACGATCAAGTTGGATAATAGTAAAACACGGTATAGCAACTGAAAAACATAAATGACATATTGAAAAATTCTTTTTAGATTTTGAAAAATGTAAACAAGAACTCGTTACTACGGCTGATAAATTAACGCGAGCTGAACAAATAATCAATGTAAAACAATTTGAATAGTCAATAGATAATTGATTAATTGAATTTCTTTTTAAGGACCAACAACATGAGATTGATCACTACAAACAAGAACATCATAATTTAACTATTAAACTTAATATTCTTCTTGACGAAAAAGACGTATGATCAATTATGAAAACTTTGAAACAAAAAATTATATATTTTACCTTTTTTCTAGGTTCTTACCGATAGAATAAGAGCTTTAGAAAAGGAATGGAAATTGGTAAAAATATTTTTATTTGAAATTATTTTCTATCTATCAAATTATTCTAGCGACCAATTCCTGAGAATCCATCTGAATCAAATGATCAATATGAAAATGAAATTCGAACTTTTCAAAATACACTTCAACAACGTGAAGATTCCATACAAGTATTAGAAAAAAAAAGAATTTATATTTCAAGAAAATAAGATAAAGATATAAGTTTAAATCGAGCTTCAGATAAATTAAGAGAGAGAGAAAAAAAAGAACCACCATGTCTCATTCTTTTTTTTTTATTCCTGACAGTTCATTGCATGCTTAGTAATATTATTTTTTAATGAAAAAAAAAGCGAGAGAATGAAGGCGAGAAAAATACAATGCGGTTTTTCATATTTGCTTCTTTATATAAAAGTAAAAGAAAGAAAAAGAAGAAGAAGCGATAGAGTTCGTCGATTGCTTACCGAAGAATATAAAAAAAGAAGAAGAATAAAGAAATAGCCTAGTTTCCAACGGTAACAGGCATCAAATCCCGACACTCTTTATACACATAGATAACTATTTTAGACTCTTCAAGATTCAATTCATACTTTGAAACAAGATTTAAATAACGTTCATCAAGCTAAGGACAAAATTCAAGCGGATTATAATGTAAGTATAAATTCTTCAATGTTTCTTTTGTTCAAAAAGTATTCTTATTTATATAGCAAATGACGAAACAAGTTACATCATTACATGAAGAATCATCTATTAAAGATAGAGAAATACGCGTAATTTTTTTTTTGAGAAGAAAAATGGAGAAAAATTTTAAATTATTTTTAGAAATTAGATGATTTAATTAAGAACATACGATCAACGGGTGACTCTTCATCAACAATTGTATTATTACAAGATCAAATACAACAGAGAGATCAAGTAAAAAGAAATTTCAGATAATCGTATTTTCTAACACGTATATTATAGGAAATAAATAATCTTATAGAAAGACTTGAATCAAACATTCCGAATCAAGTATATTTTATGAAATGTAAAGATAAAATTTTAAATATTCTTTTATAGCCGAGTCCAACTCATAGTACAACGGTTATATACGAGCATGCCAGTCGACGTAAGTAATTGAATTGATCATCTTTCTCCCAGAGAGACTATGATAATTTCGATAATCGAATATTTCATTAAATTTGTTTTTCTTTTTAGGTCGCCCAGATATTGATCGTTTAACTCATGAAGAACTATTATTTGAACTTGATACAGCTTTAGAAATCAATAGAAATTTACATAAACAATTGAACGGTAAGTTTTTAATGAAAAAGAAAGCAAAAAAATCTCTTTTTTGCACTTCGAAATTAATTTTTTTTGTATAAAAAAAAACCACTTAAATCTCTACAGAAAAAGCTCCTCCTCTTACGGAAATTCACAAACAATTAGTCGAAGTACGAAAAGAACTTGAACGTCAAAAATATGTTAATCAAGTTTTATGGCGTAAATTAGATGCATTAATTGATATTCATGGTTCAAATACAAGAGCTGAATTAGCTATTGAATTAGCTAATTATCAAGAAGAAGTTGCTAATTTAAAAGCACAACGAACACGTACGAACGCTGCTCGCTCTGTTATAATCAATGCTAATGCGCGATCCTCTTCAGGTTATTTACTTAGATTTTGTATTAACCACTTCCCCTAAATATGCTAACACTACTTAACATTGCTTTGTCGTGTATTGATGTGCTTGA